TATAGTTGCTTGCTTTGCTGTTGTAACCTCATTATGACTTTTGCACCTTTTATTTCTGAGCAAGCAAACCGGCATATTTTGCTAACTTTGCACGGAAGGAAACGTGTCGCCCTGCGTAACTCAAACACCCACCGAGGACTCACAATCCTCTTTTAGCTGTCGTTGCAAATCTACACAGAGGAGAGAGTTGTGCTGCAAGCTGCCCATCAACCCAAACCAAATGAGGATGGTCCTGTGGGTTAAAACATGCATTTATCCCATTATCAGGCTCAGTTTGGATACTGGGTAAGATGATAAGGTTGTCACCAGTGAGCCATTGCACAACAGGATTGGGAGAGTGAGGAAACCCACACTCCATTCACGACAAGTGCTTTCACGGTGTCACTTCTTCCCCCTCAATTTCCTGATGACCTCAGGAAGAGCTCCACTATCATATATTCCTTCTCTTCTTCTCTGGAACAGGCTAAGAGGTTTTTGGTTTTCAGGACATGGAGGTTATACAAGGTGAGTACTTCTCCTGCATTGCACTCCTCGCCCTCCTTCACTCCCTCCTTGCAGACAAACACCAGTTTTCTGGCAGAGACTCTCATGGGAAGGGTGTAGCAGGCCTGAGCACCCGGCACCTTTCCCATTTGTGCCGAAGCGGAAGGGTGGCTGCAGGCTGGCAAACAGCTCCGCTGGTCCAAGGACCTCTCTGTTCACTCGTGGGGGAATCCAGGCAGCACAGCAACGCTGAAACACCAAAGAGTTCGCAACGTCTCTCCTGGATCAACACAGTCTCAATGCCTGGGACTTCAGCTCTGCAGGACACTCCACACCAAGGTCTCTCTGACTGCACCCGCCTATCGCTGACCCGTGACGCACGACATCACCTTGACCTCTGGTGCCACCCACGCCGTAGCCCCAGCCATCGGTGCCACTCCAAACGGACACCAGGGACACGCTGGATGCTCACCTAAGGACAAGACTGCAAGGGATCACCAGCCATGCATTCAGATACTACCACTACCAGTCCAGGGACCTCTTCTGGGCAGGTACTGGCGTAAGAAGATCCTCGCTCCTCAGACAGAAAGAGCCTCCAACATCTGGCTCTTAACTCAAATGTTTGGGGCAAGTTAGTGTTGCCTCTGCAGTAAAACCAAGACCTTCTGCCCCTGTGCACAAGAGGGAGTTTAAGTGTCCTGGCTCTTCACCGGAGGTGAGAGCATAGGAAAATCTCACCATACACTGATAAAAGAAATAATACTGTTATCCCCAAGTTATATATCAGGAGCAGAGGACCAAGCAGCTTGTCCGGCAGGTGCATGTCAGAGCCAGGAACCAAATCCTGACCTCTCTAGCTGTGGCTCAGCAGGCTGGCTATTGCTAAATGGACTTCTTGTCGCTCTCGACAAACCTTGTGGTTTTGTTTCTTTCTTCTTGCTTGCGGATCTTACGGTCCAAACCAGACCGGTGTACCCGCACCTCACCTTCTCAGTGCTGGACAAGCATATTTAACAGCAGACTCTCCTCTTCTCCACACATAGTCCCTTCTGAGAGTGTGGAAAACAGAGAGTTAAGCTGTGCTGTGCTTCCATTAGACAAGCACAACCCAGCATGCCACCAGATGGTTCTCAGGTGGAACCAGTTACACAGGGGAGAGGAAGGAGCCGGAGCCCCCATGCATGAAGCTCTCAGCTACAGCTTTGAAAGCTCACTGCTCTTTTCCATCATTTCAGAGTTTCCAGAGCCTGTCCTCACTGCAAAGCTGTTGTGCAACCTGAGTGTTTTGCAACTGCAGCCTGACTCGGCGGCAGAGCCAGGGCTCTGAGCTTCACCCCCTCCCACCACACCTGGACCAGCTCTGGCCTCCTGCTCACTGGCACTCCCAAGCCCACGCTGAAGCCACCTTTACTCCTGGCACACTAAAGCTTGGCTTAAAGTTGCAGCTCAAGGTCTGCAGGATGGGCTGAGAAAGCAGTTACTGTGATGCAGCGGATGGGAAGGAGCTCATGATCTTCCATCACTTTGGGTGAGTCCATACCCTCAGATTACTCCAAACCCACCACTTCCAATGCTGGTCCCTCTCCTGGATCACCATCACTAGTGTAAATCCAAAGAGACTCCTTCAGAGTGCTCCAGATTTGCTCTGCAGAGGCTGGAGGACTCCAGCAACATCTCCTCAAGCCTTGGATAACACCAGCCAGAGATGTTAAGAGAGAGCTGGAGGTGAACCAAGCCTGAACTGAGTCTCAAAGCCTGGGTCTAGGTTGAGTCAAAGACAAGGACAGCACAAAAATTGTCATGTGGGCTTCAGCCATCCCTATTTAAGCCCTGTGCTGTAATAATGTTACATTTAATTACGCCACAATACCAGAAGAAAGTACCTCAGACAAGATCACCGCATTAGTCCTCCGAGAAAGACTTTGGCCTATTTTGGTGCCAGGAACAGGCTGTGCCTTTGCAGGGATGGGTTAGGGAAGCCTGTGCCCTCCAGCGTGTTGCTGGATTAAGCCCCTGCCCAGACAAACACCTCCAAGTAAGAGGGAGAATCTAAAAATAATAACAACAAACCCTAAACAAACAGTAACAGTTTGAGGGCTTTGCTTTGGAATAAAAGATTAATGGACATATTGATTGACTCAAGGGGCTGGGACAAAGGCTGACAGTCGTGTTTATTTTTTAGCATCTGTCTGTGGACTCGCTGTGCTTGTGTCCGAGCAAACATTGCGTTAAGGAAGCTTATGAACTAACACACGGAGCATGGTTGGGTCATCTCCAGCTCAGCCCGCAGGGTGTCTGAACACGCTGCCACCTAAATACGTTAGCAGGAGTCACAACAGCTTAACACTGAGGAGTGGACTGGGCTGAAGACGTGTTCAGATGTCTCTGCAAAGCTACTCAGCTTCAGAAATCCTTCCTGACCCCGCTACTATGCCCAGGGAAAAAGAGGTTCCCTGGATAGGACTCTACAAATCTTGCAGCTCTCAGAGCAAGACAATGTGATGGAGATGCCCCAGCAGCACGAGAAGCATCTACTGGGGGATGCCAGGAAGGACCAGACCAGGCAAGGGCTACCATGCCAGGATTTAGGGCAGGGTCTGCTGACAGACTCACAAATGCTCTTGTTCCAGCGCTGTGCACACCTAATTCTGGAGAATTTATGAAAAAATCTCAGCAATAAAGCTGCTCAGGCACTGCTGAGTAATTTGGCTGTTGCCTGAGTTTTGTCACCTTGTACTGATACCTGAGGATCCCGTTGAGCAAGAGGTAAGAGATAAGCCTGAGCACAAAAAGGCTCAAAGAAACAAAAAGACGTTTTTGAAAAGCATCCTTCAAGACCTAAGGCATCTTGTGGAGCTCCAGTCGCTGTCAACGATTAACCTGCTGCACCTCCCTGCTCCAGCTCTTGATGTGTGAGGAACCATATCCCTTCTGAAGCCACCCCTTCTTGCTGCCTCCCCGGTGTGCAAAGCCTCCAAACTGCCGGGCACAAAAAAGCCACAAGGAAGAACCTCCTCAAAAATAATTCCTGGAGAGGTTCAACAGACTAACTGCAAATACATTCACGGTTCTTCTCACCCTAACTCCTTGTTAAGGAGCTCTCCTCCGCAGCGCAGGGACCCGGCTCTCGGAGAAGCTGAATGTCACACAACCCCATGGCAGCAGGAGCCGGGGCTTCACAGCCAGGGGAAGGGATGGGCATGATGCTCAGAGTTGGTGGAGAAGCTGAGACCCTTCTGCTAAATCCCTGCGGGGCAGAACAGGCAGCAACGCCTGCAAGGACAGACACTGGATAGGCAGGGACCAGCAATAAACCCAGAGCTACATTTTATATCACTGTCAGTTTGAAACATGACCTAAAAAACCAGCTTATTACAGGAGAGGGAAAAACCCAGAAGCCTTAAGTGACCATTTTAAAGCTTTCAGCTATTTAATTGTGGCTTTCCGCACGCTGATAGAGAAGCCAGCACCCATGCTGCAAGAAGGTTCTCCTCCCTGAAGTGCTCTCTGTATCTCTTATATTTATGGAGATGCCAAGCCTCTTGGAAAGAGACCTCCTGAACGCCTCAAAGCAAAGGAGGATGTCCAGCTTTGCAGGAGAGATGGTGGCAGTCACCCCAGGTGACAGCAAGGCAGGTGTGCCAGCCCTCCACAGAGGGAGCAGCTGGGCACAGGAGCTCCTGAACCCTGCTGAGAGGAGGCTTTGATCCCTCTTTCCCAAAAGGATGCCTTGCAGGCATCAACGGCTGCTCTAAAAACCAGTTATAGCTGCACCACGTCTCCACACAAAACCAGTGATGAATCTCCAGCCCCATCGCTCCGCAGCATCTCAAGAGTGTTCAAACCTTGGGCACTGGGCTGGGTTCTGCACCATCCACAGCTCCCATCAAAGCCTGGCAGGGCCTCCACAGGGGAAAAGCTACCCAATTTTCCCACAAAACACTGAGGATTGTGCATCTAAATCCCATGATCACCATCAGCTTCGCGCCTTCAGATATGCCCTGGAGACTGTGGATCCCAGCCCTGCTTCCAAAAATGATGCTTGTGCTTTGGGGCCCCAATCCCATTTTCTCCCAGTATGTCCCCAGCTCACTTCTGGACACAAAGCATCAGCTCCCCGCTTGCTTTAGGATCTCTTGAAATGTGAATGGCAAATCTACCTGAGGCTACATGAAATAAAAGGGGCTCCCTTTGACAATGCATGTTTTTTTGCTCTTACAGCTTGGCTGTTTTTTCCCTCCTCTCCAGCTGCCAGGTCTTTAAAATCCCACAGAAAATACCAAACCAAAACAAAAACCAAACCAAACCAAAATAAAACCAAACCAAAACAAAACAAAATAGGCAGACAGAAAATAAAGAAGCAGGTAGGGGAGAGACAAAAAAAGTTTTCTATGACCTAGAAGAACTCAGTCCCTCTGCTAACCATGGCAAAGCAATATTTTTTAGCAGGATGCGAGGGACTGTGCTCTGAAGAGCAGCGGCGGGGGCCGCTCCCAGAGCTTCCTGTGGGTACTTACTGGTGCTTGTGCTAGTGCCGATGGTGTTGATGGTTGTGGGGACGGAGGAGGAGGAGTAGAGAGGCAGATGGCCGTTCTCGCACGCCAGGTTTTTGTCCTGCCAGCTGGAAGCGCTGACGCTTATGCCCGAGTCTCGAGAGTTTTGCCATCCGTTGAGTTTGTCGTCGGAGTTTTGTCTTTGGTGATAGTAGTGCGTCTGCCCGTAGTCCACCGAATCCGACCGACCTCTGTTCTGGCCGCCGAAGCCACCCGACGTGCGGTCCTCCAGGTGGTTGAGCCACATGGCCAAGGCGCTCCTGTCCTCCAAGGAGGTGGCCGGGTGTATCAAGGCGTAGGAGAGCAGCTGCCTGCTCTCCTCGATGTGTTGGTTGTGTTCGATCGAGTGGGCCAGGATTTTAGGCAAGAGTTTCATGTACTCGACTTTTGCCTCGATGTTTCCGGGCTTTAGTAAAGGCAGGTGGGTTAACAATAGGGAAATCACTTTATCCTTGGATTCCTGTTGCCATTGGTTAATGATTCCTGTTGAAGGAATAGGACGGAAAAAAAAAAAATTGAAAAACTGGCAAACAGAGATAATAAAGAAACAAATAGAGCCCAGCAGGGTAAACACAACACGCCAAAGGGATGCCTGCATGTGGGATGCTGCTGCGTGAGCAGCAGCGGGGGGAGTCACCACTCTCCAAAAAGCAAGGTCACGGCAACATGTGCTGAACCAGATACCCAGAGTTGCCAGATGCTCCCAAAAATCACAAAAAAAGCCAAATTACACCCACCTCTACAGCCATTTAGCAACATTGCTGCTGTCCTAATGTTAATCAAGGTCACGATTTGGCCGAAATTTCCTGTATCATTGTGGATTACACAAAATACTGCACAAAAGCTCTTTTAAAAGCACCAGCTGGAAAATGGAAAAGGTAAAGATTCAAATGAGCTGACAGAGGCGAGAGCCACAGAGGACGAAGGGAAGAAGCATCCCAGCACGAGGGCAACACCCAAACCAGGGCGTGGGATCAGCCCCCAGCCTGGAGGGATAAGCTGCCCAGAGGTATGGAGGGAAGGCTGAGCTGAAGCAGCCTCAAGAGCTATTGTTCCTCTGTTCCCTCACGGCAGATAGGAGAGGTTTTAGAAGATCAGAAAAAAAGAAAAGCAAACATAGGGTTTAGCTTTAAAAATATGCAAAGGGAAAAGTCGGGGAATTACAAACGGGTCGCTTTACTCAAAGTCCTGGAAAACTGATGGAACAAATAATGAAACAACCTATTTGTAAGCACTTAGAAGATAACAAGATGATAAGTGACTGCCGACACTGATTTGTCAAGAACAATTTAATTTCCTCCTGTGACAGAGCAACTGGCCGGCGAATGGCTGGAGAAGCAGTGAGCGCCGTATATCTTGATATTCATTAGGTGCTGCCACACACAGCTTCCTCAGCAGCACACCAGAGAAACACGCTCAGGCGAAACTGCTCTAATGTGGGCACACAACTCATCAGAAAAACAATATGGAGAGAGTCGTTACTGGTGATTCACCGTCAGACTGGGAGGATGTGCTGAGCAGGGAGACTTATCCCACCCGTGACACTACCCAGGATGTCATCGGTGATAGGGGTGATGGGATAAATGTACTCAATGGGTGGGTATCATGCTGGGGAAAAAAAAACCCCACTCCAGAAAACTGTATTAGAAGTCAGACAATGCTGATGAAGTCAGAAAAAAAAAATGCATTAAGCAGGCACAAACATCTGCAGGCAAGCGGGACCAAACCACTGTGCAGCAGCAGGTAGGGAAGAGCCTGGGGTAAGGAAGCATCACAGGCTGAACATCAGTCAAAATGCCACGTTGCATGTAAAAACTGCACCAGCCAGCCTGTCAGCTGTCGGAGAGATGAACACTGGCGTGAACAAGCTGCTCTCCGTGTCTCCTGGGGATTGTAGTAATAGGTTTGCGTTGCAGCAAAGGTGAACGAGGTTGGACACGAAGAAACTACGTCCTACAGGTACAGCGAGTGATGCGCAGGGAGAGATTGCCTACGGATGCTGTGAAGCCTCTGTCACTGGAGGATTTTCTGAACAGTGTATAAAAACACTAGCCAAGGAGCACTCAGGATCTACCTAGACTGACGCTTCCTAGCCCCATGTCAGTCACAGAATCACAGTCTCTCCTCTAGTGTTTACCAAACCCCTCTAACAAGCCTTCACACTTCCAGTTCCTGTAGCAGGCTGTGCCTAAAGGTGCCACACCTGAGCAATCTGCTGAAAAAGGAGAGTAAACCCACTGCTCAAAACTTCATCAAGTGAAATGCCCTGAGGTCTCACGCTATTAAAAAACCCCAAAACTTTCCATTGCCCCTCCCTGCCTCCTATCCATACTGCAGAGGAAGCTGATCTAAACCACTGATACGTTCTTCATGTGGTTTGGAGAGCAGCTTACTGACCCCACACCAGTGAAACGGATGATCTGGATGTCCATCGGTAGAATCACCCACCAGATTAGCTCTTGGGAAGACCCAAATGGCCATCCACCACCTAACCCAACCCTTCCACGCCCCATGACCCAGAAGAAGGTTGTTAGAGTAGGGTCTTCTCCCAATTAGGACCAAACCCTGCAGGTCGCTTCCTCCACACAACTGCGGTGGCGAGCAGCACTCGTTCCTCCAGCTTCACCTTCCCAGTTCCAAGGCACGCAACCATTTTGATAGGAAGCCACTAGATGGCTTGCTGGAAACGCCGACGGCTCTCACTGGAACGTTCTGCAGGGGTATGTACTTTTCCGTGGACCCACCCCTCCTCCAGACCCACTTCCTGACCCAGCTGACGCTTCGCCGGAGCCTCCTCGTGCCGTTGCGACGGGAGGTGCACGAGACACGGCACGGCACAGATTTGGTGGAGAAGGAGCCACTTTGTTTGCAGCAGAAGCAAGCTTTTGGTACTCTCCTGTGCCCATGGAGATGGGTTGTTCTGGTGCTAGAAAATGGGATTTGGGAAAGCAACACTCAGTCTAAGTGATGTTGTAAAAAATAGATGAGCATAAAGGGACTCAAGGTCCACCAGAACATCTCTGTATTTTCCATATACAGATGTAACTGCTACAGGCAAAATGTCCTGTCGTGCTTAATCTGATTTCTCTGTCCCCTTTCTCTCTCCTCACCTCTCAAGCAGGTTTTATTTTCTCCCCTCCTCCCGCAGAGGGATTTTACTATTGCTCTTGGGGTGATTCGGCAGCAGCCAAACCCCAACCCAGCACTGTCTGCAGAGAGAGGCTGTAGGATTTTGCAGCAGCCTGGGTAAACCAAGAAATCAAAAGATCATTAAAAAAAGGCATTCAACACACTGCTAAAACAAGTCAGTGCCACTTGTACATAGGAACTAGATATGAAAATATAGGCAGAAAAAGCAGAGTCCAGTAGAAACTGGGTGCAGGGGAGGAGGATGAGGATGGGAGAGGCAGGTGGCCATGGCCAGACTCCTCTTCCTCACATGGAGGGGGCTGAGTATAAAGGTCACCACTGGAGAAACACAGGAAGGTGCCAGAGCCGCTTCTTGGGAAACCTGCCTCAGACCCCCAGGAGATTTGGGGGTTTGAGCTCACACCTCCAAAGAGATGGAGTGGGTGCTCTTCCCCGAGCTGGCCCAGGCAGGAGCCACTCTCCTTCTCAGCCAACAGCAGGATGTGCACAATTAAACAAAAATGGAAAATAATGAGATGTGAAAGAGGTTTGGCTCTCTCCAAGATGGAGCGGGAGGTCAGGCTTAATCCTATCTGCCAGAAAAGAGATGATCTGGAGAGCACAGCATGGGAAGAAAGCTAGAGCCGCCTCTGGGCAGGGGGAGAGGGGTTGGTGACCCCCCAAAGCCTTTCTCCACCCTCTCCCTGAGAACGTGAACCCCCACTTCAGCTCCCTACCTGCTGCTACGCACTCCTGGACATCGGGGATGTCTCAGCGCTCAGCCTCAGTCAGGACGTGTCCCGGTTTTGGGCTCCTGCGTCCTTGGGTCCTGGCACGCTACCTGTGCTGGGCTGCAGGCACTACTCACATCACAGCCCCATCAGCTCCCCTGGGTGTTAATAGTTGGGCTGGATGATTGTAAAGCTCTTTTCTAACTTAAATAATTCTCGTGATTCTACGCCTGATGCTTTCTGTCACAAGGCTTTTGCTGCTCTAAGGGATGGCAAGATCGTTCATGTTTGCAAACGGCAAATCTGAGCATAGTGAAAGCCCCAAAGTTAGAAACTCCAACCTGCTGCTTCGAAATCCCCCCAAATGCCTGTTCTGCTCGCTTCAGTCACTGTACCAACATCTCCTTTCAGAGACGAGCTAAAATTACAACCTGACCACAAGCACCCTAAGGAGATAGCTCCCATCCCAGCCCTGTGACTTGCGTACCAGTAACAGATGGAAGCTGCCACTGCCCCTGGAGCACAAAATCCTAAATTTTATTACGGGACTATTTTTCCTAGGTGAGAACATGGGATGCAAAACTATCTTCTAACATAGGATTACTCAACCAACACAAATTTGCCGTCATAGAGCACAGCCAATGTATATACAAACAGCACCAAATAGAGTGGAGTCCTGCTTGCAAGGCTGAAACCCGTGCTGTGCTATGTATAGGTCCAACACGAATATCCACAACCTCCACAAACCTGGGGCTTTTCGGCTTGAGAAAGAGGTGACATTTGTCCATTTGAGAAAGACTCATCAGATTTCTCTGGCACAAAGCTGTTTAATCTCTTCTGGATCCCTGAACACTGTTCATTGCCTTCGTGTCCAGTGGCGAAGGATCCACCTCTAATGCCCCACACCGTGAAGGATTTCCTTGCCTTTACTTTGAACCTGTCTCCTGATAGACAGGTGGGTTATTTCCACCACCAGTGAGGTATGTGGAGCTGTTAACGATGTATCAGGAATGGTCCCAGTTTTCTGACAGTAAAGCCAGCCTGGGTGGACAAAAGCAGGGGTACACATAGTCCCTGTGGACACCTGCAATTAGAAACCTAGAGGTACCTAACTGCCTGGTTTCTAGTTTTACTTTTGATTTTTGTAAACAGACCTCTGGCCCCCACCTTGAAAACACCGACCCTGTCCATGGGGATGGCTGAGAGGAGCTGTCAGCACAGACACACGAACACGTGTGTCACCAGGCGAGATGTCTCCAAGGAAGGGTGACGATGTGTGATACCTCTCAAGGGCTTAAAAACACCCCGACAAACCACTGACCCCAACTAAAAGAAACCTCTTCATTTTGAAAACAGAAGGTGGGTTATCCTCCTGTTGATACAATTCACCACAATTCGCAGGTGGAGTAGACAGATAAGCTGACCAAGGTTTTGAAAAGCGGCCAGGATGAATGATGTGTAATTCTTGAGCAACAAGGGCAACAATTAAAGACTGAAAGTGTTTTAAAACCTGCCCAAGGATTTTCCAAGTGTGTTAGAACGGCAGACTTTGGTATCATTGCTCCACAATGCATTCAAGGGCTCTAGTTGTCAGTAAATTGCTCTAAAATTACTGTTTTATTA